TTTCTTTATCAGATGCCGGTCGACTACTTCCCATTCCTGCAGAACCCGAGTGACTTGCTGAAGGAGTTGAAGCCCAAGCCATTGGTCGCTCTTCTTCCTTCGGCAGAGGAGTATCGGGAGAATCGAGTTCCCAATCTTGACACTCGCTTCCGATTGGCTTACGATCTCTTAATGTCCGCTCTCCACTTAAGAAGTCAGAATGCCGTTCATGGAAACATCAACAGCAGTAACGTTATCTTCTTCCCGGGTCGAAGTGATGCGGGTGATGATGAGAGTGGTCTTGGACCTGATCTTCGTCGTCCTTATCTCACTTCTCCAGCACGGTTCTCTGGGGATGGGCCAACCCCTGAGCCGCTGTCTTCGGCAATGTATCGCCACCCCGATGACAAGAGGTGCGTTGAAGATGACGGCGCATGGGCTTATGACCTTTACTCGCTCGGCCTCATATTATTAGAGATAGGCTTGTGGGCACCAGTTGGACGACTTTGGAAGATGAAATATGACCGCTCATGGTTCAAGCATCGAGTGGAAGATCTCTATGTCAAGAAACTTGGCCCAAAATGCGGTGGTGCTTATCTTCAAGCCGTTCAGTTGTGCCTTGATGCTCCTAACTTCCATTTATCGACACAACCGATGACCGACCTTGGTCTTCGTGTTCCACAGATTTACCACTACCCAGTGCTTGACTTGTCAGATCCTGATGGCACTTTCTCTTTCTCGATGAATTTCATGTACACAATCTGCAAGATTCTGTGGTCATGTTGCCGGATTGATATCTTCTCGGCACCCTCGGCAGAAGAATTGGATGACTGCCTTCCACTTGCCCTTGTCCCTACCCCCGAGCCAGTCACCATCCAGGACAAAGTCAACGCATACAAATCATCAAAGCTTGAGATGTCTAATTATGACAAGAAGCTTCCTACCATTCCTGCCGATCGATGGGGTGTGGTGAATGAAGACAAGCACTTTGAAAAGCCACAAAAGAAACGTACCGTCAAGAGACTTCCGAACTTGGAAATACCGGACGAGCACCTGCAAGAGTGGAATTTCCATATAATGCCCCGAGTGAGTCGTCTTCTTCAGAAGATTTTGAAGGAGTCTTCTGAGTCGTGTGGAGTAAACCTCATCATGACTGGGGAATCGTCTGAAAGTGCCAAAACGACGATCTGTGTTACTTGCGCCAGTGTGAAGAAAGTTCGAATGGCCTTGAAGAAGCACTTTGCTCTTGGTCGGGATGACTGGGATTTGATTGTCCTCCGTGGCGATATCGAACGGTCCAAGGTTCCTCGGAACAGGCGCCGGAGGCCGGCCAAGGCTCGTCCCAATGTCTCGAATGATACACCCTTTCGCCAGCGAGAGCTCAATCCATGTCACCAACAGCGACCTCTGTGCGGAGCATCTATCGGTGCCTTTCAGAATGAAGAGCACCTACCGCCCGTCTCATATGGTGGTGCCGTCTTTGTCGATGGCTTGCCGTATGGTCTGACAGTCCATCATATGCTGGAAGCCCCTAGCGAAGATGAAGGCCAGGATAGTAGCCCCGGAGACTCCAATCAAGATGTCCCCTCCCGGTCGTCGGCGGGGAATTGGCCCCGTGATACATCGAATATCCCACATCCTGGATTCATGTACGACTACCAAGAAGATGACTCGTCTGACATTAACTTCGATTTCGAAATTTCCGATCTGGAGGACGGAGACGATCCATCACAAGGCCTTGAGTCTGGATATGATGAATTCTGGCTTTCAGATGATGATTCATCAGATGATGACTCCGTCGGTCCAGACGACGATGATGGTGACACCGCTTCCATCGGCGATACTGCTGGTATCGAACCAGGTGAAGAACCTCGGCTGCTTGTCACCCAACCAGCCATTGACGACGTACACGAAGACTTTTTTCCATCTGCAGAAGATCGCGATGACGAGCACCTAGCCTCACACTCCCTAGGTTACGTCCACGCATCATCTGGAGTACGACGTTGGACCCGAAAGGGTCTGAAACATGAGATTGACTGGGCTCTCATCAAAGTCGATGAAGCCCGCATGGACCCTCGCAACATCATTCTCGATACTACCAGATCCAGTATTGCTCGTCCGGGGCGCCCTATCCCCCCGCAACCCATATTCCTGAACCAGGTAGCCCGGATGGAGGAGCTAGGTGGTTTGCAAGTTCATTGCTGTGGCCGCACAAGTGGACTGCAAACAGGACAGATATCCAAGGCTATGACATTGGTCAAACTTCATGGACGTCATTCATTCTCAACCAGCTTTTGCGTCAATGGTAACTTTGGAGGTAAGAGGTGCACTTCAGCGAATCCATGTTTATGTCTATACGATCCTTAATTAGATACCCTTTTTGTTTTTTTTTATGCACGCCCATCATTTGTCACCCTTTTTAGCTGGTAAACATACAGCACCATTGGATCCTAAGACGTCAGCTCGTATCGAGTAAACATTTCATGAAGCTAATCTCTCCTTATTCGACAGCCCCTGGTGACTCCGGCGCATGGGTCTTCGACCGTCCCACCGGCCGTGTATGTGGCCATGTTCTTGCCTGGTCCGCAAAAAGCAACACTACCTACATATCCCCTATGGAGGTTACCTTCGATGACATCGCCCGCACCCTCGGGGCCTCCACCGTCTCCCTTCCAGGCGACCCGAACCGCTCCATGGGTTACGTCGACCCCACATCCCCACAGGCTGCTCAATACCGCTACCAGGCACAGCGGCTTCCAGAGGACTTTGGCCGTTTGGCCTTTGGTGCTGGAGGTTCCCCTGGTCCGCCTGTACCACCCCACCCCCATCATTATCCTCACCCTCAAGGCCACCATCCGCGTTACGGACGTCCTTTACCTCCGCCCCCACCCCCTCCTGGCTCCCGAGAAGTCCACGGGCCTGTGTATAGCGGTCCCGTCCCTCCGATCCCACCGTCCCTTCTGGCTGGGCCCCGCAATATTGAGCGACAACTCGCGTGATTCTTGAAATATTTAGAATACGCGCTGTTTTGAGATCCATGTTATACTGTTTGGGTTATATTGGTTTTGTTTTATGATGATGTTTTATGTATGGACGTTGCGGATACCCATGATGGAACAGTTTCTGGTGCTCTTTTCATTTAGGTGCTATAATAATTATATCAAGTGAACTATTTAAAAACCAATATCCATGAATGGGAATTACATGTACTCAAATTGAGGTAGATATGACGGAGCTCGAGAGAACACAATCGTCTCGAGGCTAGCGTTAATCTTGTCCGTCGGCATCGTAGTATCAACCCTTAGGCATTCTCTCCAAGGGGATGAAATGATACCTCGCATATCTCTGCCGGGCCATATAATTAAGCTGCCAAATCTACTGCGGCTTTTCTCTCTAGATATTTACTCAGTGTCTCTCTTACTGAGTAAATTCATCCAACCCTTGTGTAATCTCGAGGCCCCGTTGAACAATCCAGATAACCTTGAATCTTGCATCCAGTGGGCTGAGAGTTGACATAAAACCACCTAGAAAATAAGAAATGGTGAGACAGTAGCCCAATAATGTGACATGAGCTTGGATTGGGGGATTCGAGATCTCATCTTTGTACAATACTAATTTGCCGAACTATGGCATGGGTATATAGTCATACTATATTCCGTACAAGAATCACTACTTGCTCTTCCTTCCACAAAACGTAGACAGTTCAAAATGCCTTCAATAAGACCAAAGCAGAACGCAACAACGCGAACCCAGATCAACGAACTAAGAAGGTAAGTCCAACCCTATTATACCAAATTCTACCTCTCCAAAATTTGAGACTATGATTCAATAGTCACTTAACTAGAGTCTCTTGTGCTGATAGCTCATTCGCAACAGGAGCAGCACACCTACATTATTTGCAGTGAGCCCCACGACGATTCACAAGTATTTGTCTCTTCTGGTACTAGGGCTCATTTTACTAGCACCCGATGTCCTAGGAGCAAGGGTAGTTTACACAGCAGGGCACAGGGAAGAGCTTGGGAGCCATCCATAGTCTACCAGACGCCTCGGAGAAATACCAGATGAACATGTTGAGCCACTTCTAGAACACAATTGGACAATGGTCGAGTGGAAGATACATAGCCGATAGGAGCAGAGACATTATTATCAACGTGTTCTCACGCGAACGCGTGAGAACACTTAGTCAAGCGCGTCAAGAAGTATAGGACATGATTCACCTGGTTTGCTCGCACTTGAGAGAATGTCGCGCGACTTCACCCGGATCTGAGTGAATTGTTGATGAATATGTGCGTTTTCACCAGTTCGATACAGCTAGTTAGCTATTTCCAATTAGCTGACGACGGTTTTTGGACTCCAGAGCCTGCTCGGCAGGGTGTCAGTTTTGTTGAGAGAAAGAAATGCAGTAGTACCGGATATAGTGGCATGTTACCTTACGGGCGTTGTATGGAGGATATTAGCAAAAGTTTGTCTTTGCCGATTTATGTCGTTATTCCAAGGTTAGTTGACTTGGGGGGAAAGGCCCAGTGATGTGCAAACCTTCGAGGGAATATTTTGAAATATATACATGAGAAGGCATAAGGCTTTATAGTGAGTTTGGGAATTGTGTAGGATTACTGCCCAGGTCATTGCTATGTAGCAAACTGGTGAGCACGTGAGCTTTCGAAACCTAATTATCCATGGATGCGGCAAGGCGTGTCCAGTACTTCTACTATCCTGGTCGTAATTAACAATCCCCGCAATTATTATCGACAGGCTCTTTAAATATCAATTTACAAAAGGGAAAGCGATATGTCATACAGGATTTGATTCTTGAAATTAACTTCTTAAGCTCCATGAGCTGGTGACAATCCACTGACAGGTTGATGCTGAAGCAAATTTGGTCACCGGCAAAAGCAATGGCTACTCTTTCAATATCCCCAGAGCATTCCTTTTTGGTGAAAAAAAAGTAGATCAGACAGAGATCGATGTGCGTCGTGATCATGACCCGTATGTTGTCAGTGGTCTGGGACGTAAACGAACATTCACAGTCTAACGGAATAGACAGGCCGTATCTCAAAGGTGGTGGTGCGGGCACCGGCGGATGGACTAGGAAGTTTAGATACCATCTGGCGGGCTTCTAATACTCGCTGGTAGGAGAGCGTGTGGAGAATGTCACGGCCACTGTTTACGCTCTTCACTTCAAATTTCTTCTTGTGTCGATTCCAAGCAAGTGCTTTTTCCTTTTGCGAGTCGTCAATTTCCCAACGCGGCTGGAATTTTGTACAGTCACCATGGATATCAAAGTTCGGATGCTCACCGGCGATGATCTACATAACTGTATCACCGCAACGAAACTCAAAGACGGGTCATCCATTAACACATGCTCAGAGATAGCGAAACAGCCAGGATCAATAGGAGCAGTAAGTATTTGTCGAGGACCATTAGCCACAGCACCAGCATGCACCCCCCAACACTCCTTGGCAGAAGCTTCAAGTGAATCTTGACCAAACCATATCACCTCACGCGTTGGGTCAAACGTGCGTAAGAAGATAAGACACTGCCTGCCCTCATGAAATCGGACCTCCATGCCCTGCTTAAGAGCCCATTCAATGGCGACGCCGCGAGCTTCATGGTTCACCGAGGTGAGTGGTGTCTTCACACGGATAGGATCAAGCAATTCGTGATGAAGCTCCATCTCCACAGAAGTTTGGTGGAAGACATGCACCTGCTCGCTTTCCGGCACAGGAACAGGGCGCCAGCAACCGGCTTGGTAGGGAGACAATGCCGGTGTGTCAATTTCGGGCAAGGCGTCACGCCATATCTGCATTCATAGTTCGGAAGGAAGGCGGGAAAATGAATGGAAAGTTGGGAGTCCGGCCGTCAACACGGGCGAATCTGAGGTACTCATGACTTCAAGATGTCAGAGTTGAAGAATAGTAGACGATTGAGATTCTCCTGTAGAGTAAGTTAGTAGTGAAATAGACTTGGATCGTGGGTACACCTGATTTTGAGGCCAGTACCTAAGGCAATAGTCCTATGCTACCTTGGAGAATGACTCGACACTTACCTTTCTTTTTCAATGAGACGGCACGTTGCGTAGCTGTTGGAGACTTGCTACCAAGAACCGAGGAAGAGAAAAGTAAACAACACAGTAAAATGGAAACTGTTCAATGTGAACAAGGTTGTCGAAGGCGGTCAATGTGGCGTGGCGAGCCCGACAGTCTGCCTCCAAAACTAGATTTTGATATCTGTTTTACTTCGCGCTATTGCAAGAAGGCATGATATATCAAATCATCCATTGTATCAATGTCGAGATTTCTATTTTGACAGAGGTTATTATAGATGCAGAACTTGGAAATTAATTATCCGCAGAGGGATAATTCAATGAATATTATATACCCTTTTTCTACATTAGGGAAATAAAAGCAGTGAACCAAGTATATAGAGGCAAGATAGCAGGAAGAAATTATAATACACTATATACAGCTGTTTGTATGAGCTTTTCAATATATTCCATGAAGAACAAAGAGGAATAAAGCACTATATATTGTCAATGGATAAAAGTTGTCCCAAGATGTGGCACGCTCGTGAACCAACTGACCAACATTGCTATCCAACTTCGACGGGACTTCATAATTTGTTAGCCGTTTTTTGAGCATGGTCAGGGGGTTATTTCTAGGGGTGTTGTTTCTCAATAGTGGTGCATTAGTCGTTCGTACCCCCTCCAGCCCAAATAGGAAATGCACATGAACCAGGTGGCTTGTGACTTGAAAAATTGCCGCCATTATCCTCGGACTTGCCTTGTTGGTAAAGAGGAAGCATACAAGTGTCTGTACGCCCAAACGCATCTTCGTCCACATCACGTCCGTTTGACAACTTCTCTCTCTTCTCTCTGTTTTCATTCATACCCAAGGACTCTGTATCTCATCTTGTTGTTTACATCCGCGGTAAGGTGGAGTAAACTTTTTGCAAAGATAATATGTAAGATTATGGTGTGTTGGGGGCGATGTGCAAGGCCTCAATGGCCTATTTGAAGTTGGAGGGAGATGATTCGGTTTCTATGGGATGTCAGGGGCATTTTAAGGCCCGGAAGAGTCTTTGAGTGGAAGGCCAATTGTGCTTCACGAAAGCGTCCATGGTTCCCGTACCTGCACAAGGCCGGGGTCATGCGATTGCCCTTCATTGTGTATGCATGTTTGAGTCCTGAGATATTCAAATGAGTTGTCATTATTTAGACGCCTTTACCCTGCACCAATGAGAGTACCCAAGATATTGATTGCACTTCTACAGTCGCAGCATGTAACGTTGAAATACAGCCTTCCAAGGATGTTCTATAGACCCACGTGGCGTGACCAATGAATCAAAGTTGAATTAATCTGCTGCAGTCTGACTATCAATCAATCAAAGTTCAATTAACCTGTTGTAGTCTGACTAGTTGCGTATGGCTATGCAGGCGCTTGATCCAGCACTTGGCGTGACCCACTTAACCTTATAAAAAGGCCCAAGATATTGATCACATCAGTCTTGATATGTCTCCCCTCGTACATTGCATTGAAAAAGAATTGGTGTGAAGAGCTCATGATTCTACGTTAGGTATATGTATTACCCCATCTGGTGATCATCACTAGGGGTTTCAAATATTTTCGACTATGCTCTACCATTTGCTGCCCCGTGTATTCCACTGCCTATTGACCCCTAACAGGACCAACCGTCGGTGATATGATGGACTGCGGCAGATTAGTTGTGGAGAGTGGGTGATCGTGTCAGGGGCGACAATGCCCTTCTGAAATACAAAACCTCCACACAGTGAGGCGTCTTGATTCGGGGCTAGCCAGTATCTAGACCATCGGGCGCGGGCGCATTTGGCTGCTCGTACTCGTTTTTCTATTCCTCCTCCTCATCATCATCCTCGTTGATACTCTCCCATTCATCTTCACCATCGCTCTGTTCGAGATCTACCTCATCGCCAAGCATGCTAAGCAGCTGTAGCAACCCAGCCTGTGTGCGCCAGGCATCTCCGGGTGGCAAATTTGGATCGGAACCACCAAGGCCTCCGTTGCCCGCTGCTGAAGGCTCATCCGTATCACCGGAGTCAGAGGGGGATTCGTTAGACAGGTTAGGGGCCAGGCTGAGTACGCGGATGACTTTTGTAGCAAAGACGCGAGGAATATCTCTGCCTTGCGGTGGAGGGACACCACCTGGAACATTGGAGTCACGCCAGCCAAGAGTCTGCGATTTCTGATGTTAGCTATTCTGCTTCCTTTTTTTCCACGTTGATAGGTCAAATAAGGAGCTCACGGTGTAAGTGGTCATAATAGCATCATCAGCCAACGCCATGTAACTTATGGGCACAGTAAGCTGCGGTTCAGAGCTTGTGAGCAACGAGTACGAAGCACGGGGAGAGTTTTCAACGTCTTGAACCCTGTTGTTGTCATCAAGGGCGACGACATAAATTCGGTCTTGAATTTCGAACATCACACGGTGATTGCGGATTGATAACCAGCCACCAAGGTCAAAGCTTGACCCATCTGATTCGCATTCCAGGATGGAGCTGTTCGCCACAAGACTAGCTTCGTCGCGAAGAGCCTTGCGGAATTCAGGGCATATAAAGACACGACCGGCGCGAGAGTAGCCCACGAAGAGATCGCCGTGCAACATTCCCGCTCCCCATTCATCCTCCCCATGCCAGACGTGACCTGGATCATCTGGTGGTGACAGTGGACCTTTGGCGATCTCAATTGGTACCAAACAGTCTTTTCGGAAAGCCCCAGGCGGAAGGGGTTGAGGTGTTGGGCCGAGTCGCGCAGCGCCTGCTAGTGCTGCCCTCGTAGAAGCAGTGGCATTAGGAGGAAGGATGTGATATTTTTCTGTGGACTTTGGTGGCTTTAACGTGCCTAAGAACGCTCCAGACTCCTTGTTGTAGGCAAAATAGCCTTTTGCTCCCATAGAATATATCACAATGTCTTCGCTTTGGTCCAGATGGCCAATTCCGCCTCCCTCAATCTTCAAGTGTGTGGTCAACTTAGGAGGTCGCTGTGTCATATCGTATACAAAGCCCTGACCCTCGTTAGAAACAACACAGAGAGTCCAGTAGGACAATTGGAACCCTCTCGTCTGGCAATCATGCGCCAAGGTAGCGATGCGTCGGAACTCCCCACGCTTCGCACCTTCATGATCCGCCTGCCAAACCTCTAGCGAATCACCTTCACTGTCGAATACGGCCATTCCATCCTGATATTCCAAGTGTGCGTGTGGGCGAACACCATCTCCGTTGGTGGCCAGCACCGAAGGAAGCTGCCAGAGGATACGGCCCGTGTCCATATCAGTGACGTTCAACCCGCCAACATGGGAAGTAGAGATAAAAAAGCGGCGCTTGAAGTCGGCACGGAATCGCCAAACAGGATCATTGCCGATTTGTAGCACCGATTCTTGGCTCACTGGATGCGGCTCGGCCCAATTCCGGGCCAGCAATGTCTGGCGCTTACACAGGTCTTTCCATGATTCCGTGCCCTCGAATAATTTGGCAAAGCTGTGGGTATCGGAGAGGAAGGAGAAATCGCGGCTACCTCCAACTGGCTGGGCGGTTTTGGCTTCGGATGCGTAAATGGCATCTTGGTGAGTGACGTCGATAAATTGGTGCCAAGCTTTAGAGGCCGCGGTCAGGGACGCTAGAGAGGAGACAGGGGTGAAGTGCAAGATTTGCAGAACAATCTCTGGGGGCAAGACAGTGAGAGGGTCCGCCATTGATGATATGGCGGCCATATTTGCAAAGATAGGTTGTTGCAGAAAGGAAATAATAGGTGGGGGATCATATTTTGTTCTCCACTGTATATACGATGACGTAGTTTCTAAATCCGTAGACACAACAAATAGCCCTGGGAAGTCGAAGTGCCTTAAATTTAAGCTTAAATTATCTATTTCTTAGTCGGATCGCCAATTCCTCCAACTAGATTCCCCAAGCCTCCGCAATGCCCGCCTTATTTCAAGATCCCTCATTCGCTCTTCCATATCCCGCACAAACTCTTGCCGGTCTCTGTACCGTTTTCCGAATTCCTTCACAAGGATCGGAATAACCTCCCACCCAACGAAAAGCAAGAGACTAGCAAATAAAGCAAACAGTTGATCTTCTTCGTTAATTGACTGGGGGGCACATGGCATGAAGAAACACGATTGTGATGCCTTGACACTCCGCGTCACATAACCGACGAATGCGTACCAGCCACTCGCACATCCAACCAAGCACATCCAATAGCCTGGACTAAAGAGCAAGAGTAAATAGAGATAAGGGATGGCTAGTGGTAACATCCCAATCCACCATCTGGAATCTTTTGTGATGTTGATCATGATGATCGATGTAATCACCACAAAGGCTGACCCGTAGAGAAAATAAATCAGCACCTTGTGCGCCATTCTTGATGCTATCATTTTACTGAACATTTCTTCCAGCAGTTTCAGCAGTCCGGGGAACATGTTGGGCACTAATGCTATGTCCATATATCCGAGCAGCCATACAGAGGATGGCAGGATATAATATGGAGTGCCAACAGCAACAACCAAGTTAATGTCATAAGCCCCGCTGTGCATTGCGTGCCAGTATAGCGCAGGCACGTCCATTGTTCTGAGCGGATCAGAGTGCATGAGTGCGAGGCAGGGCAATATCATTCCGAGTAAGAGTGTCCACAACCGATATCGTTGGGCCCTTCGGGTATCGAATAACAACATCGTAACGAGATATTGCATCAAGATATGAAAGGTTCCCCAAAAGGTGACATTAAATGCCGCCCCAATAGAACCTTTCAACCTGCCCAAATCTGCATCGTAAGTCAAAGAGTCGAGCGGAATGCTTTGGGCCATGCGAATTCCGCGAAAAAGACCAGCCGCGGCCCAGTTAGTGCCGAGCAAAAATAGCCATGTATTTGGATCAAATCTCTCTTCTGAAACTCGAAATACCCGCCACCACGATGCCATGATTGAGATGAACCATGCTGCCCAACTTCCTGGTCCATAAAACCCGCTCACATTTCCGATACCCAAGGCATCAGGTGGTTCAGATGTCACAGGTAAAATAACTGGGGGTCCAGTGTCATAGTATTCCCTGCCAGGTGAACGAGCCGCATTGGATGAGGAACTTGTCTTGTCGGCCGATATTGTAGATATCGTGGTATCGGAGGCTGGGGAGATAGCGGTGTAGGTGTGTTCAACATAAATGATTGCTGTTGGGTGTGGGCCCAGTTCTCCTCTTGTTTGGGGTACAAGTGCGCATGTTGTGGATATGGAGAGGAAGGACAACAGTACAGCCCTCCAAATCATCGGATGTATTGCAAGCAGGAGACTAAGGATTTGGGCCTGTCTTTTCAAATTCCGACTGATTTGGAGTACGATCGGCGCAGTGGTATAGGAAATGGGTTTCTCGCCTCAAGCCAGATGTCTCGTATAATCGGGCTGTGTGACGAGCATGTCAGCAGCCTTCAGCCACTAACGCTGTGGCGAGATTCCAAGAAAACAAGATGTCTCTCCAGAGAATTATCCCTCATGCGAGGTTGACAAAAGTCGAGGTTTGCTGTACCCCGCAAGTCCAAGCAAGTCCAAGCAAGTATAAGCGACCTGCATATATTCAAAAATGTCCCATTTCTTGGCAGACAAAACAGCCCAACGAGATTTTGATTTTCTCCCCATACCCCTCCATCAGTCATGGGTAACGAGACCCTTCAACGGTTCGCCGCCCTCGATCTCGACTACTTGATTATAGGCGGAGGTACCGCAGGCCTAGCTGTTGCTGCACGCCTCACCGAGGACCCCGAATTTCGCGTGGGAGTCATTGAAGCCGGCCCATCGGTCTTAAACATAGATGACAATGGCGCGATCAATGTTCCTGGTCGGTATGGCGAAACCATCGGCTCAAAATACGATTGGAAATTCAAAACTACTCCACAGCCGGGCCTAGGAGGAAGATCACTACCATGGCCACGAGGACGTATATTAGGGGGCACAAGTGCGCTTAATCTTATGGCCTGGAATCGGGGTCATCGCAAAGACTATGATGCTTGGGTGGAGCTGGGGAATGAGAAATGGGGATGGGAAGATCTACTGTACGAGCGACCGGCTTTCTAAGATTCGGGCTCTATCTTGAGTCTCACCTGCTGATCTGTGAGATACTGAATTCCTGACAGGCCTTTTTTCCGTCGCAGCGAGAATTTCCATCCACCGAGTGCCGCCCATCAGAAACATTATCAGTCTTCGTATGATCTCCAGGCTAATGGAACGAATGGCCCTCTACATACAACCCATGCCAAGCAGTATGGCCCCACACACCAATATTGGCACGAGACGCTCAATAGTCTGGGGGTTCCATCTACGCGCGATAGTCTGGCTGGTGATAATACAGGCGTCTGGAACATGCTCTGCACAATTGATCCAGATAGTCAGGAACGCAGCTATTCTGCCTCTGCATACTATCAGCCCATTGCGAAACGCCCGAATCTGCATATACTGACTGAAGCAACTGCCATGGAGATCCTGTTGGAATCCGAAGATGATGATTGGTACGCAGTAGGAGCTCGAGTACGCTGGAACGGGCTGGAAGCAAATATCAAAGCATACGAAGAGATAATCATCTGTGCCGGTAGCGTGCAATCACCACAACTTCTGGAGCTATCTGGTATTGGTGATCAGGACGTGTTGGAAGCTGCTGGAATCGAGATGAAAGTTCACAGTCCCAACGTGGGAGAGAATCTACAGGAACATATGAGTATGGAATATAAAGAGTGCTCGTTGTGATCGTGGCTGATATCTAGGAGTGACTGCCACCATTTTCGAAATATCTTCCGCGATTCCAACCCGTGATGACATTCTCAAAGACCCAATTCAGCGCGAAGCTGCGGACCGCGCCTATTACGCTTCTCAGACCGGGCCTTGGACCGTGATGCCCTGTTCAGTGGCGTACTGTCCACTTTCGAAGATCTTATCGCCTGAGGAATGTGATGAACTACACACCCAGGCCAAGGAAGTTGCGCGAAATACAGGACGTATACATGATGCTCTTCTGGCCAGTCAGTTTGAGTCCGGTCAAGCGCGTGGTCAAATCGAGTATCTCTTCGATTTAGGCAACTGGAGCCCATATTTTGTCTCCGAACCAGGAAAGAAATATGCCACAATGCTGCAAATGCTACAGTACCCTTTCTCGCGCGGGTCTATCCATATACCGCCTATGAGCGAAAACAATTACGAGAAAGCCACTATTGATGACAAGCCCGTGATTGATCCACGGTATTTCCTAGGGCCTGGGAAGATTGATAAGAAGGTCATGGCCAAGGCGCTCAGATGGGGCGATCGAATCTGTCAAACCGAGCCTTTGACCAAACTCATTCACGGTCGAGTCTTTCCTCCTCCTCCTAAGGGTGCAGACTCCGAGGAGAAGGTATATGAAGATTTCGTCTCAAATTATACTGTCACCGACTGGCATCGTATGTTCTCCCTCCAAAGTTCGTGCTGCAAATTACTAAAAATATATATAGCAGTTGGAACGTGTGCCATGGGCGAGGCAGATGGAATCAATGGTGGAGTGGTAAATGATATGTTACAGGTCCATGGTGTTCATGCTCTGCGGGTCGTAGATGCTAGCATCATGCCATTGCAGGTTGGGGCACACATCCAAGCTACCGTATATGCGATTGCCGAAAAGGCGGCAGAGATGATCATAGAGGATTATTTTGCTCGAAATGGTCCCCTATAAATCTCATGAGGCTTGCATCTAATGATAATATTCCAAATGGCCTTGCCAATATCTTGCCCAGTAGTCACACGCTAAGGGCGACTGTCACAACAGCATGTCCACCCATTCATATTTTCCAAGTTGTCAATGTTGCACACATCTCGAGCTCAGATTCTGCAAATTGATACTTATTTTTCTAATAACCTTGCATTTCATCTTTGGCTAGCTTTTGTACCACGGCGTTCCATGTCCCCCACGAAGACTTTGGGAAAATGCTCTCTAGCGATGAAATCCCACCCACCTATGCAGGATCCCTATATGACCCAGATTGCAAACGGAACTATCGCCTCGGACCAAGAAGCATCTGCTCCAGCATCCATGTCTGTGAAACATGCGTGTAAATGATCTTGGCGATGTCCCTTAGACGAGGATGACATTTTCTGAATTCAATAACAGATACAAAGATCTCAGAATATGCGGATGTCAAATAAAAAGGCCGGGAACTGAAAGCATAACCCCCCGACATCGGCTAAAGCCGACCAAGAGGGGCAAACCCTTGCCCTATTTATTCCAAGCAATTCAGTGAAGCCATCGGGATATTTTTTTTCCATATACTAGATACATTTCACTTGATCTAAAGTCCACATCGTGTAATCGCCGTCATACTATTTGTTGTTTCACGCATCTCTCATCCGACACGGAAACTGATTCCCGCATTGATCCATATATACCCACTCATCTGCTTAATACAATCACCATATTCTCTATCCTACATCATGATTTCTGGAATCGCCCACATCAATCTCACAATCCCTCGGGGTACATTAGAACAAGCCGAAGAGTTCTACGGGACAACCCTCGGGCTCACCTCAGCACCGGTACCGGAGCTCCAGAGGGGGACAATCTTGTGGTATTGGCACGAGCTATTTCCTAACAAAGACACATTTCTGATGTTACCAATAGGTTCGACATCGGCTCCAGCGGACAGCAGGTGCATATTAGCTTCGGCGCGACTGATCCCCAGGCTACCCGGCACCCATGCTTCAAGCTGTCTTCCCGTGAGGAACTAGAGGAGATTAAAGCAAGTATTTATAACCACCATGTGCGTGGTGGCCTGGCGGCCCCAATGGCTGCTGATAAGCCTGGCGAGGTGAATTCTGGTGAGTTTCGTTGATACATCCCGCTCATGATTCTTTGCTGATTACCGCTGTAGGGACCCAAGGGAAAGAATATCCCACGCGGTTCTTCGCTCGGGATTTTGGTGGGAACTTGCTCGAGTTTACTATGTAAATTTGAATCGGTTTCTACGAAAGCACGGGTGTGGAATAACCGAGTCGCTGTGTGGCTAGAATACCAATGAGAAACGTTCCAATTATCACTCTGAGCCAACTGGATATTCCGAAGATGGGGTTTACCGTCGCTTGATATCAGTCTATAAATCGTCACAAGTGCTGTATATATGCCCAGGTACTTTCTCTAAACAGTTACCTCCCCCACTCCTCGTCTCAGCATCCCCCACTTCCTCCCCACGGTCCCTCCTCTCCCGCACAAGCTCCCTTCTCAATATCAAACCCCAAAGATAAGACCTATTAACAACCTCATGACCACCCTTCTTCAAAATCCAAACATTCCCAAGGAAGGTAGTAAGCAAAACGGACAGCCACATAAATGGCAACATAGCAATAAAAGCCCACATAATACCACCCTTAGCATCTCTCTCTCCGGCTCCGCTCTTATTCGTAAACACCGTCGACATAATAGTCAACCCAAGCAACCCTCCAAACGGAACGGCAAATGAAGAAAGACACGAAATCTGCGCCGTCATGGCAGGGAAATACGCCAGCCCGTGCATAGACGCCGGGTTGAGTCGCATCCCGACGCCGTGGCCGACCAGCGCCATCATGCCGTAGATGACGCTTGTTTTTCCTGCGTTCACGCCCCATGCTAGCACGGTCATCCCTATTGCCGATGTGATGCTGCCTAGGAAAAGGGCTGGGAGGGTTTGGCGAGGCCAGACGTTGGAGGAGAACATTGCCATGTAAAGTCCGGCTGTTTGAGTTAGTAAACGCCTGGTCCATATAGTAAATAGTAAATAGGGAGATGTACATACCGGCTAAGCCAGGAAGGAAAAATAGCAGTGCGATACCGGCATCGCTAGAGCTCCACCCTTCTACCAGCGTGAAGTATATGTCCATGAAATACATAACAGCAAACATGCATATACCGACGGAGAAATTGACCAGGAATAATAAGCCAATATCACGCTGTCTGAGTAACTCCCACGGCATCATTGCCTTCTGACGCGGAAGCGCCCGCGCCATCAATGAGCCAGGTACCATAAAGCGCTCGTACACGACCCAAGCAATGGCTAGAACCCCGCCCAGCACCAGCGGCGCTAGAACCGCAGCAGATTTCCAGGAGTATGTACCACCCGCCCAAGTCAAAGCGAGGATCAGCAGACCAAATCCCCATAGGAAGAGCATCTGACCACCGTAATCGATAGTCGAGATCCTCGCGAAGACCCGTCCGGACGAAGTCACGTCGCTCCTCCCCTCGAGTTCGGGAATAGGCTGCGGACCCTGCAGCTCGGTCCTCAAAACAAAAACCACAATTATCATAGCTACAACGGCGATAGGCAGATTGATCGCGAAACACCAGCGCCACGACGCCCGCGTCAGATACCCACCGATTACGGGGCCGATACTAAATCCGATACCAGAGACGAGAGCGAAGATCGTCCAGTTGACTGCATACTCGGCGAGGGAGACACGGTCGGCGAGGATAGTGCGGATTGAGATGTTGACGCCTGCTGCCCCGACGCCTTGGAGTGCACGGCCGACGAGGAGGACGCTGAACGCCGATGTTGGGGCTCCTGTGCAGATTGCGGATCCGATCATCATTATGAAGATTGCGGATTGGAGGACGATGTGTCGGCCGAAGAGGTCGGTTAATTGGGCCCAGAAGAAGAGAAAGGCGGCGGATGTGAGGTTGAAGACGGAGATGATCCAGTTTAGTTGTTTGATTTGGTCTGAGTGGTTAGTTGGGGGTTTGTCATTGGAGGCCGTTGTGGTACGTACTGAAATCCTCTGCGATGAATGGTAGAGCTGAGGCTATGATTGTTGTATCCAGGGCTTGTAGGCAGTATGGACTGAATAGGCCCAGGATGATCTTCCAGCGGTAGACATTCTTTCGTCGCTTCTCGGCAAGTTGTTCGGGGGTGCGGGTTTTCTTTTTCTTTCCGTCAGGTGGAATATCGATTGTGTCTAGTTCGATTGCATTGTCTGGTGCATTTGCGACAGTGGAATCTAGGCGTTTCCGCTCATTGCGTTTCTTGATTTTCTTGTAGATCAAAAACATTTCGATAGAATATACAAATGGCCGAGAGTAGTCGTTTCCGCGACAGTGACAGCCATATTTGTACCTATTGCCGACTCTACCTATGGCTAAGCCAATCTGATATTGACCTGGTTTGTGGGTTTAGGCAATCTAAGCCTCTGCTCTTGGCCCTTGTATTGACAAGCAAAGTCAGTCGTAATTACCTATTTTGGTAATGAGTGCGAATAAGATCACAAGAATTGTTGTGAGTTCGTGTTTTTTTTTTTTTTTATTCCGTCAGCACTCGCACAGCTACCCGTATCGGGACACGAATAGGACGTTTCTTTCCATTGCATGAAATTACTGAGTTTATTAACGATAGGATTTTTCTGGATGGGGATTTTGCTACAGCGTTGGATTCATTATATATTTTCTCAGATAAATAGAGATATTATATTCTAACGGGGCAACTTGAGATTCGCAAATATCACCTAAGCACTAGAATGACTTGCCCAGTATCTGAACTCCAAAAGCCTAAGCCTTGCGGTGGCACCAACTGACGAATTAGAGCCTAGCACTGTTGCCTAGCCCTGCCAGATACTCAGGTCATTATGCAACTCGAGAATTCACCTTTCCATCTCCCAAATCTCTTCACTATGGGGGAAACACCTACAGAACCAGCTCCCGCCTACGAAGACCTATTCCACGAGCGTGGTTCCAGCTCACATGGCGTAAGCAACTCGATCCCGGCATGATAAACTCCGGTCCCATCAGCATACTAACTACATATATAACACATGAATAGTATGCCATGGTTGATCAAACAGATGACGATGAGCACCGAGACGTGGAACAGGGTCACGTTCACGGCGTCCCCGGAGTGACGGTGACGGCTGATGCATCAGAGCCTCAACACACTCACTGTGCAGAATGTGATCGACAGCGGGAACGCAGAGAAAATCGGGAGAGTGGACAGAGAGCATGTGCTATGGTTGCGAAGACTTTTATCTTGATTTCTTTGTTTTTGATGATATTGGGGATTGTGGGTGTTCAGGCTTGGAAGGAGGTTCGGATGAAGAAGTTACATGGTTAGATGTTGAGATCGTATGTGAAAGACAGGATATCTAATATATGTCCTAGTCTACAAGTATAGTTGGCATACACAGGAATCCAACAGCGAACCCTCTATAGCCATAGATTGAATATATTCCATGCCAAGAGCCTTACCTAACCCAATACTGGAAGCATGTCTCGATCTCACCTTACGGCCCCCAAGCCCTTGAACCCAAACAGAACATCTCCGTACTCCGTATGTGCGTCAAATCATTCCGAGGTATACCTAAATCCCTTTGAGCCCACATTCAACTTCATCCCCTTTTCCTCAACTCTTACTCACTTGAACTTCTCTGCCTAATAACCATAACTAACGATCACAGGTATCAGACCAGGTTCAACCCCGAAAAATGTTCGCCTGGCTCAAAGGTCTTTTCTCCAAATCAGAGCCGTCTAAACCCCCAGAACAAGTCGAAGAGCCCAAAAAGAAAGGCAAGTCGCATAGTCGATCACATAGCAAAAAGGTTCGAGAACGTGAGCGCGATCTGCGACGGGCATGGACGGGTCAGAAGGGTGGGTGGAGGAAGTTTTATAGTAAGGGGGGATATTCGGGTGTCTGTTGATTTTCTTACAGAGTATATACACGAAGCTCTATGACTGGAATCATATCGCATAGCTTTACGGTTTACTGGATTGCTTTCTATCATTCTGGAAACAAGTTAATATTGAATATCAACACCGTCCTATATAGGATGCAAAATAAAAACCACCATCTGTAACAAAATATAAACTCGGGGTAAAAAAAAAAAACAAAAAACCATCAAGTCATAATAGATGCCTCTGTGCACATATGCAATCAGATCTAAGAAGAACCAAGGTACTTAAGCACATTCTCACGTTCCTCAACAGGCAACATAGAAAGCACCTGCTGCACACCGCGCAGACCACCCTCCTTGTTTCCAATAAGCAGCTGAGCAACCTCAGAGGCAACGCCATCAGTGCGGAGCGTCTCAATCTTGCTCTGAACCACCTTCTTGTTCTCCTCGTACCAAACAGCAACCTTGTGGTCATTGTGCTCGAGGTCCTCGTTCAGCAGCCCAGTCCAGGCGTGCAGGGTGCGCAGGTGCGCAGCGCGAGCGGACTCGCCGAAAGCGTCAGCGCCGGGGGCTTGGGACGCCGAGGCGGCGAGCATGCGCTTGACAATGGTCTCTTCGCTGAGACGGCGGCGGAGACGCCAGTAGAAGAAGCGGCGGGAGTTGACCCACTGCAGAGGCTGGCGGATAACGTTCTTGGCTTGCATGCGACCAGCGCGATCGTGCAAATCGGCGAATTGAAGCGCAATCTGCATGTACACAGGCAGGAGCTGCTCCTCGCGGGCGGCCATCTTCGCCTTTACTTCACTGAGCTGGTCCTTGGTAAGGGTAACGTCGGCCAGAGAGCGGCGGAGCTCGCCGTAGGTCGCATCCAGGCGGGCCATGGTATCCAGCTGCTTGTCGCGGCGGTACTTGATGTTCACCATACCCTCGGGCTCGAGGACACCACCGCGGGACTCTTCGTCGGCGTACATCTCCATCTGGTCGGGGTTGATGGTAGGGTCGACGACGACCCAAGATCCACCGCGGAGCTCGCCGTGGGGAGGAATGTACACGAAGATGGGCTGCTCGTACTTGACGAGAGCATCGACGATGTACGAACCGTACTTGAGGACCTCATTGTACATGTCACGCTGGCCACCGGAGAATCCTCTCCAGTTAGCTAGAATCATGACGGGCAGCTGCTCGCCGTTGTTGAAGTCGCGCAGAGCCTGGGCGGTCTTGTAGGCCGAGTTGGGGTACCACACACCACCAGCCTCGGTGGAGATCATCTCCATGGAGTCTGGGTTGGCGGGATCAGCAGGGGTGACGTTCTCCACCGAGCGAGTCTCGACGGCGATCACACCCATGGGGATACCACCAAGGCGCGCACGACCGACAACGACGGTGCGAGCCCAGCCACCAAGGGCCTCCTCGAAGGAGCCCTTGTCGAACAGGCCAGGAAGGAAGCCATCGACGTCGTCCTTGCCGCTGATGAGCCATCTAACATCATAGGCCTGCTTGGGAGGAGGGAAGTAGCCAACGTCACGGTCCCAGGTATCTGACCAGGCGCGAATGGGGATAGGGGAATTCTTCTTGTCGGGGACGAAGGACATCCACTCAACAATCTTCTCAACACCCTCAAAGTCATCGCTGGCAGTCATGTGGGAAACACCGTTCTTGTACATGATCTGGGTACCACCAAGCTGAAGGTTAGAGGTGTAAACCTCGCGACCGAGCAGCTTGTTGATGGCAGGGGCACCAGTGAGAATGATGGGCTGGCCCTCAACCTGGATGGCACGCTGACCGAGACGCACAAGGTAGGCACCGATACCGACAGAGCGGCAGGTAACGAGGGTGATGGTGAAGATGTCCTCGTAAGCCTTGGAGGTGGCACCGGCAATGAGGCCGGAACCCTTCAGACACTCGACACCAAGACCGTCCTTGGCACCAATGACGGTGGTGATCTTGTGGCGTTCCTCACCCTCATCGTTGATGAGCTCGGTGATGACCTCCTTCTTCTTGCTGGCATCAAAGCGCTTCTTAACCTCGGGAGTGAGGTAGAGGTACTTGAAGCCGGCCTCAGGCTTCTCCGGGTTGTTCCAGGCAACCGAGAAGTAGGGGATGATCTCGTCGGCGACGCCGATACGGGCGCCGGAGTTTGCAGACAAGTAGATACGGGGAATACCCAACTTGCGGGCAAGCTCAGTGCACTTGTGGAAGAACTTGTCTTCTTGGGGACCGAAGGAACCAATCTGGAAGGTGATGTCGTTGGCGACAATGATGAAACGTCTGCCACGGGGGTATTCGGGAGTACGGGCAGTGATGATCCAACCAACCATACCGTGGGTGTTGGTACCAGGCTCGCGAGAGACCTCCACAAGGTTGTCGGTGTCATCCAAGACCAGCTCGCTGTAGTCAATGCACTCTCCCACAGGAGGGCGCTTCTCGTACAAGGAAGGAATCTTCTCGGCAATCTTGGACCAGCTGTTCTGGAAGGCCTGACGGAAAAGCTCGGGGAAATCGTACACGTACTGAGTTCCCATCAAGTGAGCCTTGTAACGCTTGGGCTGCAGCCACTCCTTGGTGGGGTACGGGGTGGCGACAGGGCGCAGATGCATAGAGCCCAGCTTGGCAGTACCACCAATGCTCTGGAAGATCCATTCGCCCTTCTCGGACTTGCGCTCGATGTACAGCTCGACGTTGATGATGAAGCCGTAGGTGTTGCTGATAATCACACGCAGGGGGTAGGGCATACCGGTAGCCGGGTCGGTGCAAAGGATGCGAATCTCTGCGCCAGTGACACGGAGGCGCCACAGACGGCGGCCGAAGCGATCGAGGAAACCGGCCAGGGCTTGCTCAACATCGACGGGCTGGAGGTTGAAGACGGGAGAGAAATTGATGAAGATGTGGTTCAGGTCAGAGTTGTTGTTACCAATAATCTCCAGGGCGTCCAGGATGTCGTTCATAAGGCGGTCAGCCTCCGAGATCAGGTACTCGGCGGTAGGGATATCATCGCGCAGACGACCGGGACGAACGACAGCACGAACGAAGTAGCGCTTGTCGATAGCCTTGTCGTTCTCGGGGCCCTTGCCAATAGCCTCGTAGACATGAATGTTGCGGTTCTCGGTGAAGACGGGCTTGATGTTGAACTTGGACAGACGGCCGAGCTCCAGCTGGAAGGCAAGAGCGGGCTCGCTGTGGCGGATACTCAGGTCCTCCTCGTAGTGGGGACCACGGAAGGTGAAGTAACCGGGATAGACACCTTCCTTACCGCAAATGAAGGTGACACGACGAATACGGCGGGCGAGAAGCTCTTCCTTGTTGTCAGCGAGCAGCTGCTTCATCTGTTCAACAAGCTCCGAATCTTCCATGTCCTCGATATCGCGGATAGCAATGTTGCAGACTCCGGTGAGCTCGCTGTCACTCACGGTCTTAGGAGCGGGACGACGCTTGCCTTCAAGGCTGGCAATGAGGCCCTGCTCGCTGGGTCGCTTGACGTTGGAGCCGCCGAGAGGGAAGACCTCAAGTGCCTTGGAGAGGATCTCCTCGGCATCCTCCAAGTACTGCACGGGGATGATTACACCCTTGCGGACGGGGTCACTAGCAGCGTCGCTCACAAAGAGGGACATGTCGCCGATGGAGTTGATACGCTTGAAGGGGTTGGTCTCCGCAATGGGAGTACCCGGGGCGGAGGGCTGGGCGTTGAGAACACCGAACTCACGCTGGCCGAGCTTGCCAAGGGTGAAGTCCCAAGATAGGAAGGGCTGCTCATTGGAGGCGTTGTATTCGATGCCCTTGAGAGTGTACGCACGGTAGGCACGACGAACGTAAACCTCCAGAGAGGCAAGGGTAACCCAGGGGTCAGCGTGGACGAAGAAGCGAGGAAGAACATCGAAGACAGTGTACTTCGAGTCGACGACCTCCTTCAAGACCGTCAAGGAAGGCTCACGGTGCTCCCATCCGGTCTCGCCGTAGCGAGATTCGACAACGGAAGATCGCAGAATGTGCTCCATCTGCGACAAGCGCTCATCCAGAGATGGCATAGCACACTGAATAAGAACCTCACGGGCCTTGAGAGTAACCTTCGCGGAAGAACGAGACTCAAGCTCGGTCAACAACTTAAGAATGGGCTTGAAGTGCTTGCCGACATTCTCGACGAGGGGCTGGTTGGGGCGGTACATATCTAAAATGGCCAGAACCAGGTTGTTCTTCGAACCAATGCGGCTGTGGGAGAGGACAGTGTGGACAATGCTGGTGATGTCGTCCTTGTTCTCCTCACGGAGCTTGAGAATGACATCTTCGTCGCGGAAATTGTGGGTGGAGAACAGCTTTTCAACGTCGTGGTACTGCTGGAGCAGGCCAATGAAGACATTGTACTCGTTGGACTTCAAACCATCGACGTACTTGTTGATAACCTCAACCAGAGGCAAGAGGGTGGCCTTGAGAATCTCAGCATCGGCAGGGCCGATGTTCTCCTCGATGAAGCGAAGGATAGCTTTCTGGAGCTGCTTGGCAGGGAACTCGGCCTTGCGGGCCTTGGCACGGTCAACCACGTTCTGTAGCTGAGCATCCAGTCTCTGGGGAATGCGAGAGTGCAGCGCAGAGGATTGTGCATTCCACTCTCCGTAAGGAAGGTCGGGATTGCGCAACACCTCAACAAGATCCTTCAGGGTGGTACCCATAATGACCTGGTTGTCGAAACCGCGAAGAATGTTCTCCAAAATGCTGTGAAGCAGGAAGAAGCGCTGGGAGGGCTTGTTACCAAGAACGGTAGGCGAGCCAAGCTCGGGCAGCTGACCAGTGAAGGGCTGAGCGTGCTTGACGCGGGAGGGGTCATCCAGGGCGAGGATACCGAGGATGTCACCAGCCTCCAGAGTAGCACCGGGCTGCTTGATGAGCTGCACGATACCATCCTCCTTTGCGATGAGGGGCATGTACATCTTCATGACCTCAACTTCAGCGTAAGACTGACCAGCGCGGATGTGCTCTCCATTCTCAACGGTGAACTTTACAAGCTTACCAGGGGAGGGAGAACGAAGTTGAGTAGG